GAGGATTGGTATGTAATTCTTGATGTTCGTGACAGTGACTGCAGGGTGAAGGGGGGCTGTCGGTCCTGTCATTTGAGAGTGGTGGAGGTGATCAAAAGAAGAAGAACGAGGCGATTAGGGTTAGCGCCAATTAGGAAGGAACGTAATACTCTGATACCATAATAGAATATGTGATAAGGCCAAAATCAATCCCCCTCTCATTGATATCGGTGTATATATATACAAAACCAACATTACATTTGACCACCTCATAATATAACATAATTACAAAAACAGACTATTCTAATACTAAGTAAATGTCATCTTTACTATTTTACATATTACAGAGATTAAATTACGAAAATTGTCCCTATGGTCTTAAAAAAATTATTGATTTTAGTCCACGTCATTAATTTTTAACTTTTCCATTTCTTTCTCTTTCGAAAAAAAAACTTTTCCATTTCTTTGGTTTAGCTATCATCCTTGTCTGATCTGATTTTGATCACCCTAGATTTTTATCCCTCTGACTTCCCCTCCTCAGTTGCAGAGAAGATCGAAGAAATAGGAAAAACAAAATTATAGATGATAAACTGATAGTAACAAAGGGCCAAGAAAAAAGTTATAAAATTATAAACAATAAAAAATTAATATATTAAAAAAAATCAGATAAAGGCAAAATAGTCAAAGATGAAAAGGGTTAGTTTTACAATGTTTTCTGGTTCAGGGGTGAGTTTTACCGACCCCCTAGGTTTCGTTTTCGGGGGCAGGGAGTTCCCTCCCGAATATTTCGCGAGGGCCCCGAAGTAATTATCCTATATTTAACTATTTATATTTATAAAAAAAAATCTTAAACTTAGATTAGCCATTGTGTAATATACATTTTGTATTTGAATAATTAATGTAAAATGTAAGGTTAAACGAAATAAACAAGTGAAAAATATGATAGAAAAAGGTTAAATTGGGGATTTCATGCTAAATGGGGTTAATGGGGCCGGAAGTGGGGATGATCTTGAAATTGAGGGCCGGGGTCAGGGGCTGGAAATCGGGAAATTCGGGTCGGGGACATGGGAGGCTACTTTTGCCCCGTTTAGTCCTGTTGACATCCCTAATTCATTCAATTACAAATTAAAAATTTTGTATGTTTATGATTACAGGTGACCTCTAAAAAGGATCAAGAACAATATTGGGCAGATAAAAGCATGCCATATAGATATATTCCAGTCACTGAGTTTTCCGAGCGGTTCAATCGTTTCCACGTGGGGGAAAATTTGAAAAAGGAGTTGTCAGATCCATACGATAAAAACAAAAGCCATAAAGCAGCTTTAGTTTTCACAAAGTACTTAGTCCCTAAAATGGAGCTCCTTAAGGCCTCATGGGATAAAGAGTGGCTGCTAATGAAGAGAAACGCGTTTATTTATGTTTTCAAGTCTATACAAATCGTGTTTATAGCATTTATTTGCACGACCTTGTATTTTAGGACAACCATGCACCACAGGAATGAACAAGATGGTGTTATTTATGTAGGGGCACTTTTAAACAGTTTGCTCATAAACATGTTTAATGGGCTTGCTGATCTTTCATTAATCATATTGAGGCTTCCGGTAGTTTACAAACAAAGGGATCTCATGTTCCACCCTTCATGGGCTTTCACTCTTCCAGCTTTCTTGCTACGTATTCCTATATCTATGCTAGAGAGTATTATGTGGTGTGGTATATATTACTTTGGCGTTGATCTTGCCCCTGATGCTTCCAGGTAATTAATTAATTAATTTATTAATAGTTTTTGTTAGTTTAATAAACTTTGGTATTTTAATTTGATGTTATATATGGTAATGGAAATATGGTTTACAGGTTCTTCAAGCATTTGCTGTTGGTTTTCTTGATCCAAAATGTAGCAGCGGGACTATTTAGGCTAATTGCTGGGGTGTGTAAAACAATGAACATTTCAAACACGGGTGGATCTATCGTACTTCTTCTTATATTTCTGTTGGGTGGTTTTATAGTTCCTAAGACCCGTATTCCAAACTGGTGGGAGTGGGCGTATTGGATTTCACCTCTGTCTTATGGCTTGAAAGCGTTCGCCATAAACGAGTTTCTTGATCCTAGATGGACAAACAAAAGGGTAAGTTGGTAATTCTTATTCAAAATCTCAAAAACTTATAAAAATAAGAATTTAAAAAAAACGGTACATTTTTGGACAGTTTTGTATGTTAACCATACTTAAAAATAATTTCCAATAAAAGAATAGAAGTTAGAGAAATATCCTCCTATTTATTCTTACTATCTATCTTCCTTCCACTTAACAAAAAAATTATTAATTTTATTAAATATGACAAGTGTGGTAATCTTCATAGTATAGGAATATGGTAGAAGAAAAAAAGTAGGAGGATATTTGATTTCTCTTTCAAAATTTATGATGCTTTGATTGGAAAAATAAATTATCTGTGGTTAATTAAACCACAAAACTGCCAAAAATCTATTTTTTTTTCTTAGTAATTTTCCCAACAAAAAACTAAAAAAATTGTATATATTTGGCAGAGCACAGACAATACAACCAATATGGGGTATGCAGTGTTAAAGAACCTAGACGTCCCAACTAAAGAGAGCTCATATTGGATTTGTGCTGCTGCTCTTCTTTGTTTTGCATTTCTCTTTAATATCCTCTTTACTATAGCTCTCATGTATTTAGAAGGTAATTACGTTTCACTTGACTCTCCTAAAGTCGATTGATATTTTCCCTTACTAACCTTCATGAGTCTTTTATTTACTAACTAGCCCCTGGAAAACCACAAGCAATTATCTCCAAGGAAGAAGCTGCAGCCATGGAAGGTCAAGATACCAAACCAACAACACATCCTGTTGATGGAAATAAACGCACTTCTGATGCTAGTAGTCTTGCTAAGAAGGGAATGATTCTTCAGTTTACTCCGTATTCCATGTCATTCGACAACGTGAGCTATTTTGTTGATATGCCTCGTGTAAGTTCTAATCTTTAATTTGTGTTGCTGCTAATTAATATTTACAGCGTAGATATAGATACTAATGGGCTGTGGAGACTTAGGGTGTGTTTGATTCGCTGGAATGGAATGGAATTCTGTAGAAAAAGATTCTTATTCCATCACATTTCGGTGTTTGGTTCAACTTTGTGTGATGGAATTGGAATCTTAAAATTAGAAAACTTTTCATCAAATAAAGGAAAACACTTTCTTTCAAGAAGATGATGGAATTAATTCTCTCCTAGGAAGGAAAGTGGCATTTTTCCTTATTACCCTTGTTTTATTTTAGAACATAACTTCTACCACCATCACCTACCACCA